AAAGTGCTTAGTACAGTACCTGATTCACAGTGGGAGATTAATAATGCTTATTCCCCCCCCACCCCGTGTGTGTGTGTGTGTGTGTGTGTGTGTGTGTGTGTGTGTGTGTGTTTCTTTTTTCCTTTTCAGTAAGGGGGGGTGGGGAAGAAATGCGTGTTAATTTAAACAAATAAGATTTGATAAAGAAAAAAGGAAGCAGTGCCCAGAATGAAGAAGGTGATAGTCCTGCTGTGCTCTGCCATGGTCAGACCACATATATTCAATTCTGGACACCCTGGTTTAGGAAGGACAGTGGTAAGCTGGAACTTGTTCAGAGAAGGATGCTCAGAATTGTGGAGAGCCTCAAGGCTGCACCACAAAGGGGTGACATGAGAGCTGTCTCCAAGTATCTGGAGTGTTACCTTGGAGAAGTAGGACCAGACTTGTCCTGTTGGGCCCCAAAGGAAAGGACCAGGTGGAATAGGGGACATTTGCAAAGAAGCAATTTTAGGTTTGATGTCAGGAAATACCACGTAATCATGAGAGCTGTCCAAGAGCTGGAGGTGCTGCCCAGAGAGCCTTGGGCTCCCCTTCACTGGAGGGCTTCCTGCAGAAGGTGGAGGACCCAGGAGTCAGAGGTGTTACAGAAGGCTTCCAACTCATGTCCAGTAGCTTTAGATGCTTCTCAGTCCCTTCCAAGTCTGAGCTTCGTGAGCACTCTTATCATGGATAAACACAGCCCCTTCCTATACGAAGCTGTGTGGGCAAGGATGTGCCTTGGCCTCTACAGTAGATGAGTTTGGGGAACACTGGCTGTGTAATCGCTGACTTCTTCAACTCCAGTATATACTACCCCAGGGACATCACAGTGAGCCTGTCTGGTGAGTGAGGACAAAGGGGCTGGGCTATCTATTAAAATAACTCAATTCAACTTGACAAATACATATGTAAATTAAGCATTCCCTATGTTCAAGGCCCTAAGTTATGGGTTGAGAGTTATACAAAGATGATTAAGATGTACCCCTGACCTTAAGGAACTCACAGTCTAGAAGGCAGATGAGGTCCCAGGTAATATATTACAGGACAGGATGTGATTAAAATGGGTCCCTGGATCAGAGTTAGAACTGGAAAGGTCCTCAGAGATCATCTCATCCAACCCTCCTCATTCAACAGATGGGGAAACTGAGGCCCGGGAAAGTTAAGTGTCTTGCCTTAAAGTACTTAGGGGCTGGATATGAATCCAGTTCCTGTGATTCCAAGTCCACTATACCATTTTGCTCCTCCTGCCAGGAAGGAATAGAAAAAAAACAGAGGAAGAAATCATTTCCAATTTGCATGGAGAGGGAGCAGGGGAGGGAAAGAGAATCATGAAAGGCTTCTGGGAGGAAGTAACACCTAAGCTGGGATGTCAGCAAATGGAGGTAGAAGAAGCACTGTTTCTGGCAAATGCCTAGGAGCCAGAGAGATACCTCCAGACTTGTACTAAGACTAGGAAGCCCCAAAGGCTGGAAACAGGGCCTCCCCTCACATTGAAGTGACTTGTCTTTGGCTTGTCTTCATGAACTTCTGCAGTCTCTGCTCCATATTTTAATTTTAGTTTTTGGGGTGCTGGGGAAAATTTAAATGTAGGTGACGTAGGAAGTTTTTGATTTTTTTTTTAATATTCTACATCCCTTCTTTGGGTACTGAGAGTAAAATCAGTGCTCTCATGGAAATGTGGGTAAAGTTCCCCAACACCTAAGCCATCAGGAGCTTCCTGTTTGACAGAGGAAGCCTGGGAAAGAAGACCAGAACAGTCTGTGCCTTTGGGATGAAGCCATCCCTGGGCCTTAGTCTAGGAGCCTTGGTACCACTAGGCTTCCCAGTCATAAGCCTAGGGTTCTGAGAGGGGCAGCCTCTAAGGCTTTCATCTTTCACTAGTTTCTCAATTTCTCTGCCCCCTGAATCCCATGGGATTCATCCTAGGTGGGAGCAGGGGATTCCTATTCCTTCCTATTCCATGAGCCAGCATGGATCTCCTAATCTAAAGCCCCACTGTGTCTTGGCCAAGCCCCACAACCACTCTCTCCCCTTCCTCTCCTCATCTCTGCTCTTCACATTCAGATCCCTAGGTGGATTTCTAGAGCTTTTCTCCTGTTCTTTCTCCTCCTTCTTCTCTCCTTTCTCCATCCCACCCTCCTCCTTCTCACTTCCTTCTCCTCTTCTTCCTGAAAACTCCCTCCTACTCTTTTCCTTTCTTTCTGCTCTTCTTCTTTCTGCCTCCTCGCATGTCCTCTTCTTTCTCCCCTTCCTTTTCCTCCTTCACCTTTAGAGCTTAACAAATTTAATACCTAAGAGCTCTTTTAAAGGCTGAATAGATATTATCACAAAACCAAGATCTTGCCTTATCCCAGAGCTTTCCAAAGTATTGTTCTTGTTATATTCTGTCTAATTCAGTCAAAAGATTTGCTATTTTTTGATGGTGCCTGCAGTTCTTTTTAAATGCACTTTATAAACTTTGTAGTTCTCAGAAAAATGCTGTGCCTAAGAAAAATCCATTTTACCTTACAGACCCATCATACCAGGACTGGTATATGGTTATGTCCTCCTCCTCTTCCTCCTTCTGTTCCCTCTCTTTTCCTCTTCCTAGTCACCCTGTCCTCTTCTCTCTCTTCTTCTCCCTTATCCTTATGACCTCCTACTTCTCCTCTTGTATTACCTCTCCTCATTTTCCTCGTCCTCTTCTTCCTTCTCCTCTTCCTCCCCCTCTCTAATCCATTTCCCCATTTCCTCATTCTGGCCCCTTCTTTAGCCCTGGGTGGGAGGGTGGGGGAAGCTGAGGACCAAACTCCTCAGGAGAGGGGAGGGGAGGGGAGGGAGGTTCATGGTTCCCAGGCTCAGCCGCTTCACGAATCCTCTGCCCTCAGCTCCACTGAAGTAACCTGGCTGCAAAGAGGAAAGAGGGGAGGTGAGAGCGACCCTGACTTTACTTGTGCCTCCCCATCTTGGGCAAAGGAAGGAGAGGAGGGAATGGAGGAGCTGGAAAGGTGGAACTAAGTCGATGTTTTCAGCAGGGAAGGACTTCAGACCCACCTCCTTTAACAGGCTACCCTCCCCTATTCCTGGCTCTTAGATGAGCTGGAGAAGAGTAAAAATAACGTGTCAGATGTGGCTTAGAGATACTCTTAATCCAATCCTTTTCATTTTATTTTATAGGACTTCAAGGTTTGCAAAACATTTAATTTTTTAGTTTAAATTTTTAAAAATGATTTTCATGAAGATCTACCTTTTCCCCCCTTCTACTCACCCCCTCCAATCACCTTAATTTTACAGATGGGGACACTGAGGCCTGGAAAGGGAAAGCCACTTACTTGCCCAAGATCACACTGTAAGGTAGTTGGTGGCAGAGTAGGAAGCAGAACACAGCTTTTTCACTTCTCAGCCCTGACTGGGCCTCAGGGTCCCTGAGCCCAGAACTGAGGCCAGGAGATGGAGAGGGGGGAAGGAAAGGAGACAGGGACTGGGACAGTGGGCTGGGGCTGCTGAGTCACCTCTCCACTAGCAGGGCTGGCACTGCCCTGACCAGCTCCGAGCCCAGGTGGGTCAGAGCTAGGACTGGTTCTTGCCAATCCATTCAAGGACTGGGGGAGGAGCTGGGATAGATCTCTTAGGCCAACCATTTGGCTGGAAGGAACCTTGAAAAGCTCCTAAGCCTTCCCTTGAGGACCTGCCCTCCTCTTCCTGCCAATGGAAGACAATATATTTTAAAAGAACCTCTCATGGAAACTGAGGTTCAGCAGATTGACCCCTATAATAGGGTGGGGAGTTATCAGCTCTCCACCTAAGACCTTGTTTCCTGGATCATCCGGAATGTCAAGTCCTCTCCATTTCTTACCATCTATAACTTCATGAAAGGGAAGTGATTTTTCAGGTGTCAGTGGCATTCCAAACCCTAATGATTGCAAAGACATGTGTGAGGTAGGGGCCCCCTGAAGTTGGATACCAGCTAGAAAGCCCCAGGTTCTAGGTAGCTTTAAGTGTACTAAATATATCCCTTTGTTGCCAGGTGAGACACTCAGGAAATTTGTTATTGTCCCTATTTTAGGAAAGAGGAAACAGACCCAGAGAAGTTGTGTTTTCTTAAAGTTACACCGATGAGTCAGTAGGGATTTGAACCCAGACCTTCTGTGGCTCAATCTTCTGGTCCCCCTACTCTGCCCAAGGGGTGAGTTACTTTCTCCTTGGGCCTTTCAGAGCCTGTAAAGCTCAAAGGAAATGGCAGCTGCTGGACTGGAACAAGACATGGGGCTCCAGGGAATGCAGGCCAGGGCCAGGCTCAGGTCTACACACACAGCTGAGCAGTGCAGGCTCCTCTGGCTCCAGCAGCTCGACTAGGCCCCCGTGCCAGCAGCTTCCTCCTTCCCAGTGGACAGCAAGGCTTAGAAGGGCTGGAAATGGTTTGGGGGTTTGTTTTGGTTTTTGGTCTCTTTTTCCAGACGGGGAGATTGGGGGCAGGCAGGAAACTCCTTAGGTGAAGTAGCTTCAGGTGCTGAAACACTCAGGAGCCAGGGTGGAGAGAGTGGGGAGGAAGGAAGGCAAAGTTTGTCCCACTTGAGGCCCTTCTTTTCATCTCTCCTCTGCCTCCCTGTCCCCGATATCCGTGGCTGGCCTTCTGTCTCATCTTCTCTGGTGTTTTCTGTCTGGCCCCCCTTTCTTCGGTTCCCTCCTCTTTCTACCTGTCTTCCTGATTTGCTGACCTCTCCCCCTCTCTGTCCATACTCCCCCTTGTCTTTCTCTCCCAGTGTTCGTCTCTTCCTCCTCCTGACCCCTTTCTCCTTCTGCCAAGCATGAGGCCTTTCTCTTTCCTCTGCTTCCTCTCAGTATCTGTCTCTGGGCTTCCCTCCCTCCCTCTCTCCCATTTCCCTCTCCTCTCCTTTCCTCTCCATTCTGCTATCACCCTGGCACTTTATAACCAAACAGACAAACCCCCTTTCCAATTAAAGTGGAATTAGGCAGCTCAATCAAATTAGCTCCCCATTAAAGCCCTCCTTTATTAAACCGTTTTACTGTAGTGCTATTAAGTTACACCCTCCGCCCTGGAACCTGAGCTGCCCCAAAAAGTTTACCTTAGCATGTTGACTTGGTCTGTGGCGACCTTTGGTGGGTTTGGGTGGGGGAAGCTGCTCTGTTTTTGGAGGGGGAAGTGGGGAAGGAGGGAAGGATGACATGGGCTGAACTAGTCCTAAGAGCATTGGCCTGGGAGCCAGGAACCCAAGGGTTCTCGTCCTGCCCCTAAACCACTGTGGGATCTTAACAAGGCCCTTTCCCTCTCCACCTTGGCTGAGTTCTTAGTAAAGGGGGCTTTGGACCAGACGTGCCTTTAGGCCTTTTCACAGACAGCTCTCTGCTTGGGTTCTCTGGAATGGGCAGAAAGTGCAGGGGAAATGAAAGGTGGTCCCGTTTGCGCTGGCTTTTTTTGTTTGTTTCTTTCTTTCTTTTGCATAAGGGGAAGGGGAAATCTGTCTTCTGCCAAGCCGGGCTCACCGCAGAGACTCAAGGAGGCAGCCCCGTGGCTTCCTCTCACCCGGTCTGGGCCCGATTCCGGGGCGCAGAGAATCTGAGCAGCAAATGTTTAGCCAGGGTTCGGTGTAGTGAGGAGGTAAACAGGGCCCTTTTTGCCAAGCTCAGAGAATCGGGCTGGGGCCCGGCCGGGGCCCAGCCGGGGAGGGCCCGGGGAATTAGGTTTCCATGACAACCAACTTTGGCTGCAAGCAGTGTGCCCGGCTCCTTGTTGCTGCTTCGGGTTTTCGATCGTCTTCATTCCTTTCACCTGCGCACTCAAGTGGGGGTCACAAGAGACGCCCCATTCCCTCCCGCGCCCAGGGCCTAGAGTTCGTGCCTCCTCTGCTGCCTCGCTGCATTCTGCTCCACGGCTCTCGGCTGGCTGGGAGCTGCGGACGCGGCCTGGCCCCTCCGCCCCCGCTTCATCGGCCCAGCGTTCTGGGCCCTTCAGTTTCCTCTTCCCTGAGCCTAGTGGCCTGGGCCCTGCCAGAGAGTTTCATTCCTGGGCTCGGGTTCCCTGTGTAGGGAAAAGATCTTGCTCCCTTGGGGGTGAATAGGCAGAGCAGGATCTGGAGCGCTTCTTTACCGCCTTCCTGTCGGGACTTGCTCAATGAGAGAGAGAGAGAGAGAGAGAGAGAGAGAGAGAGAGAGAGAGAGAGAGAGAGAGAGAGAGAGAGAGAGAGAGAGAGAGAGAGAGAGACAGAGACAGAGAGACAGAGACAGAGAAAGAGAGAGACAGAGACAGAGACAGAGACAGAGAGAGACAGAGAGAGAGACAGAGAGAGAGAGAGACAGAGAGAGAGAGAGACAGAGAGAGAGAGAGACAGAGACGAGACAGAGAGACAGAGAGAGAGAGAGACAGAGAGAGAGAGACAGAGACAGAGAGACAGAGACAGAGAGACAGAGACAGACAGAGACAGACAGAGACAGAGAGGCAGAGAGAGACAGGAGACAGAGAGAGAGAGACAGAGACAGAGACAGACAGAGACACAACAACAGAGATAGAGATACAGAGACAGACAGAGATAGAGAATCAGAGACAGAGATAGAGATAGAAACAGAGATAGTCGGAGAGAAAGAATAGACAAGAAGATACACAGAAATAAGGAACTATTATTTGACAGAAAGAGACAGAGGACCTAGTTAGTATGCCAATGGAGAGGGGAGGGAGGGCGAAGAGTCCTAACACTCACCCACGACTTCAGAAGGCGTCCTCCCCCCCCCCCCGCATTGTGCAGAGAGCGCTCAAACCCACCAACCTTTGGCTTGATCCCCAAGTGACCCGGTGGGGTGGAAGCAGGTTCGATGCTGGTTTTCTGGGAGTTATCTTTCTAAGACTGGGGGCAATTTCCCTTTTCTTGAGATCAGGGTTTAGGTGGCGGAAGAGGGTCTGACCTGGATTTTCGGGAGATTCTACTTTCGGGAGAGTTTGGACGCAGAGTGCGCTTTGGTGGCTATGGCTTTCCGCCCGCTCTCCCCCAGCCCTGTCCCAGGCTGGCCTTCACTCTGGTAAGAATTCTTAAGGGACAGGGAAGGATCTCACGAGGGTTTTCCCGTCACGCTCCCTTCCGGACAGGCCGAGCCTGAGATTTAAGGTGTAAGAGACCCACATTTTACAGCCCTCTTTGCGGTGTGGGCGTTTGAACACGCCCCAGCCCTCCCCTCCACCCCAGCCAGACCTAGAGAGAATTACTGGGGAGCTTGGACGCAAATGTTAAGACGAGAGCAATGGGAAGTCTCGGGGGCCATCTCCAATACCTGTAGCTGGGGAGGGAACTTGGGGGATTGAGGAGAAAGTCATTCGGGATGAGGAGAACCACCCTTTTGGGCTCCTTTATTCTTCTTTGGGGGTGAGCACAGAAAGACAGGGCCTGGGAGGAAAGGGGCTCTCAGTCCAGGCTGGGGGGCAATGCCTCCCTGGGGTGGCCTCCTTTTTTTTTTTATTAATTTACATGGGATGTGGGGGTGGTGAATTGGCCTCGGAGGACCCAGTCAAGACCTTAACAGTCTATTTTAAAAAAAAAGTCCTCCTCATCCAGATGGAGCGGGAGTTTAGAGGTAGATTGGGGGAACCATTTTTTCTCTTGATCTGGGGAGGGCAGACCTTGGAGGTCTTAAGAGGAAAATAACATTTATTTCTAACATGTCTCTGCGTAGAAGACACAACATTCATAGACTAGGGAACCCGGGTCGCCTCTCGCACTCTAGCCCAGGAAGGGAGGCAGGGCTTCAGCCAAACGAATTCGTTTGCAGCCCAGCAGGAGAGCTGAGAGTCCAGGTAGCTCCCAGTCACCCCGGAGGGGAAAGAGAAGGGGTCGAGGTGGGGGTTCCGTGGTACACGGAAGGAGTGGCTGCATCTCTAGCCCTCAAAAGTACAAGGAGACCTGTCTAACTTTGGTTGTCGTTGTTTTGTATTTTATCGTCTTGTTTGTTTTCCTTAGCGGAATTATTTGTTTCTTAAACGTTAATACCAAGTTCACCTACAGATTACAATTAATAACTTAGAATCCATTTATAACATCATACACTCGCTCGTATATATATATATACATATATATGTATATGAATATGTATAGATCAGGTACCGACATATTTATACACTTGTAAAACCTCACAATGCACCAGAGATGAAATAGCCATGCTCGGGACCGTAAGCGACGAGGGAGGGTCGGGACAAAAACCGAAACAACGAAAGCGCCAGCTCGGAGCCCACTGCCGGGTGCTCTGTAGTCCTCCGATCTATCGGGAGAGACAGAGACCCAAGACAGAGACAGAGGCAGAGACCCAGACGGAGCGAGGCCTGCCCTGACACCTCCTCTCCCAAGGACTAGACCCAGCGCTAGGAATAGGTTTGTTCAGCCTAGATTTATATTTGTTAGAGCGAATGAAAAACGAAGAGAGAGAGGAGTAGGGAGACACCAACGGACAAGCTGCGATCCGTCTGGGGAGGGGGTGCAGGCATTCAGAGCTTGAGCGCGGGGCGCCCAGCATTCCAGAAGCCAGAGTGCCTTCTAATCCGGCCGGAGATATGGCTCCCGAACCTGCTGCCTCGGGCCTGATATAAGGGCTATGTCCCATACCCAAGCCCCCCACCCCCAGACCTTTGGCAGACCTTCGGGTCGATTGCCTCGGGAAGGGGTCCGGCCAAGCAAGGGCAGCGACCTCCCCCCCCCCGCCTTAGTCTCCCCACCTCCCCACCCCGCCTCAGAGCGGAGCCGGCTTTCCTCCCTCCCAGCCAAGGTGGACCAGCTGCAAGGGCACAGGGACTGGGTCACAGCACGAAATGGGCCACGAAGCCTGGAGGGGAGGGGAGGGGAGGCCGTGGCTTCCTCTCCCACTCCGTGCCCCAGGCACTTCCCCTCGGTCCATGCCCCTCTCTATTGCTTGTCCGGGTTGTTGTTAACCAGGGGCCCGTAGAGCCCGCCCCCGTTGCTGTAGACGGGTTCCTTGTGCACGGAGGCTGAGCGGTCCCGCATGAGGTCGCTGAAGGCGTAGTCCATGGGCGGCCGGAAGCCGAGAGTGGGCATGAGCCGGCTGTGGAGTAGGGCGCCATGAAGGCCAGCCCGCGGCTGTGCGCGGCCGCTGAGTAGGCCAGGCGCAGCGGGCTCAGGCCCAAGGGTGTGCCCAGCGGATAGGCGCCTGCCTCCGCGCCGAAGTGGCTGGCGTTGGGCTGTAGAGGCGAGAAGGCCGAACGGCTGCCCAGGGTCCCGATGGCTGGGGTCATGGCCCCGGCCAGCAAGGGTCTGTGGTGTGGGTGGTGGGCGGCGGCCGGGCCGGGCTGCAGCGCGGCGCCCAGGGAGCCCCCGCCGCCGTCGGCGCGCCCAGTCCAGCCCTCGTCTGGGCCCTTGTCCGGGCCGCCGGCCGCCACGGCTGCTCCCCCGGCCACCGCGGCGCCGCGGTGGTGGTTCAGGATCTGCTCGATGGCCTGCACCACGTCCCCGCCGCAGCCCTGCAGCACCAGCTCGAGCACGCTGCGCTTGTGGCTGGGAAACACCCGGGTCAGGATGTCCAGCGGCGTCCGCTGCCGGGGCCCGGGGCCCGAACCCGATGGCGGCGGAGATGCCGCTGCCTCGTCCTTGTCCACCTCGGAGCCCGAGTCGGAGCCCAGAGGGCTGATGGAGCCAGGACTGTCGTCCTCGCCGGGGCCGCCGGCGCCGCTGCCGCTGCCGCCTCCGCTACCCCCTTCCTTCACCGTCTTGGACTGTGGAGAGCCCAGGAACGAGTCACCGTCGCCGTTCTCCGAACCTGAGCCAGGCCGGGCCTCCGGAGATGAAGTGCCGGGCGCCGAGTCTGCCCCGTCCGGGGACACTGGCTTTCCCCCAGGCGGCTGAGGGGAACCCGCCCCTCCCGGCTGCAGCAGGCCTTTGGGAAACAGGTCAAACTTCTGTAGCTTGGCCTCTGGGGAGGGAAGAGAAAAATGGGGGCGGGGAGGGCAGGTCAGGGCCTTTGCCACGCGGGCCCCTTGCCCTACACTAAGCAGGTGTCTTGCCTACACCTCAGCACCATCGAGTGGGCAACCTGGTTCACTGCCACTCTTCCTGGCCCTCTCCACATCTCTTCCCTTTTGTGCCTACCCCCTAGGATCTGGGGGCCCTGGCTGTCTCTGCCCTACCCCAGCTTCTGCCATTTTCGTACTGTACATACGTATGACCTTAGGCAAGTAACTTCCTTTCTGGAGCCTCAGAGTTTTTCATCGGAGAAACCAGGAAAGGGAATTAAATCTCTTTAGTGCCCCCTCCAACTTGAAATCCTAGGATACTCTAAACCTCTGACCTGCATTCTCCTGTGGCCCACCCCCAGGATCGGTGAGCTGAGGGGAGAGGGTGGCGTAGGAGAAACCTGGGCTGCAGTTCTACTCTGCGCCAAGGGGTTCAGCTAGGCAGTCAGAGAGAGTGAGGATTTTGAAAAGCTTCTTCCCTGTGTTCCCCCTCTCCGCCCCCACCAACTCCCTCCCCAAACCAACATCAAAAGGAAAAAAGAAATAAAAACCTCCCAGACTGGGTCCAGAGGCCGACAAGACAACCAGAGCCTCTCTGACCCTGAGACGAATGAAATGTCCCCTCCCCCCTTCCTTTCCGATCTCTCCACCAAATTAGATCTGTATTTGAGCCACTGGGTTTTCGCCTTTCCGGAACTAGAGAAGAGCAAAGGGGGGAAGTGGGGGGGTGTGTATGAGAAATTACCCAAAATCTGGGAAAGAGACAGAAAAATGTGAAAGTTCAGGAAGAGGGGAGAAGTGAGAGAAGTCTGAATGTTTCTGGAAAGCACACTATTTTAGAAAAAAAATTAAATCTACTCCAAATTTCTAATTTTAACAAAGTAGCACTTCCTCGAAGTGAAAAATCCCAATATCACAGAGCCAGTTAAGTGGCCAGGTCCGGGCTAGAATTCATCATCCCAAACTCAATTTACTGCTCTTAGGAAGGGGTGAGAAGGCAGGTGGGAGAGGATGGAAAGGGAAAAAAGAAATAAAAGGGGAAAGAGAAAGGAGAAACAAAAGAAACTAGAAAGAGAAGAAAATTAAAAAGAGGAAAGAATCGAATAAGGAAAGAGGAAACGCTGAAAAAAGAGGCAGGGGCCTAAAAAAGGAGGAAGAAAAAGAAACCACGGTGAAGAAAGTATAAGAGTAGAGATTAAAAGGGGGAAGTGAAGGGAGAATCCCGGGAGAGAGGGAAAGGGGGAGAAAGGCGAGTGAAGAGGAGGGACGAATGAGAGGGAAAGGTGGGAAAAAGAAGTAAGGGTGTAAAAACGGGAGAAGGTAAAAAGAAGAGCCCGGGGAGGGAATGAAGAGAGGAAAGAAATGACATTGCTGAGAAAGTGAGACATTAGGAGAATTAGAAAAAAGCAATGGGGAGACAAAAAGGGAAGGAGGAGCTCGAAATAAGAAGAAGGAAGTGTGGAGGGAGAGAGAGAGAGAGAGAGAGAGAGAGAGAGAGAGAGAGAGAGAGAGAGAGAGAGAGAGAGAGAGAGAGATCAGAGACAGCAAGAGAGTGAAGAGAGTGGAAAGTCTCCACGAGAGAATTAGCTATAAATGGAAAAAGAAAAAAAATGCAAAGCCGTGAGAACTAGAAGGGAGAAGCTGGAATTTCTAGACCCAGCTTTCCAGGTTTGGAGTCCATTAAGAGTTCTTCTAGCTTTTAAGTATAAATAAGTATTTAAAAAGAGAGGGAAAGGGAGGAGGACGAGGAAATAACATTGCAGGCGAAAGGCAAGGGTATAAAGAAGAGAGGGAGAGGAAGGGAAAGCTGAACCGGATTTGGGATGACGGAGCAAGAGAAGAAGAAAATACAATAGAGAAGGGAGGGAGGAACGGGAAAAAGTGGCACGGTGGGGCTGCGGGAACCGAAAGAATCAGGAAAGGGGGCCCGGAAAGAAGAGCGCAAGAAGGGATGTGAAAATGCCAAAATAGAGAGCCCTAGCATAAACAAGTGAGGAGAGGCAGGAAAGAGGGGAAAGAGAAAAGAGAAAGTGGAGAAGGGAGAGAGGAAGGGAGGGAGGGAGGGAGAGATCTGAGAAAGGGGGCGTTCAAACTTGAGGAAGTCAAGAGAGAACGAACGAACAGAAGGAAGAGGCAGAAGGGAAGGAGAAAGTTTTCTAAAGAGGGGAGAGGCAAGAGCTGATACTGAGCAGAGGGAAGCCCTCCCCACCTCCCACGCCCGACCAAGTCCGGGGTCCCCAGCATTGCCCCCCTCCCCCACTGCTGTTCTCTTCACCTGTGCCTCCTGCTCCGGCTCCCGCTCCAGCGCCCCCGGAGCCCGAGCCGGGCCCCGGCCCCGGGCCGGCCCCGCTCGCGCTGTCGGGGCACACGGTGCCGAAGACTTCGTAGGCGGGCCGCGGCGGGATGATGCCGTTGGCCGCGGCCAAGGCGAGCCCCTCGGCCGTGCCGTAGAGCAGCTGCAGCTCTCGGGCCTCGTTCTCCTCCTGCGCCTGCTGCCGGCGCAGAGCCACCTGCGCGGCCATGACCCGCTGGCGCTCGGCTATGAGGGTGCACTTGGCGCACAGGCAGTCTTTCCAGCGGCAGTAGCGCTTGTGACCCTTGAGCGCCGACACCACACCGTGGTTGCGGCACCGCGCGCACTTCGGTGTGCGCGGGTACTTCTCGGCTGCCCGCAGCAGCAGGGGTGGCGCCCGTAGCAGGCCGCCTGCCACGCTCACCGGCAGCGATGCGGCTGCCGCAGCTGCCGCCGCCACGGACGCCACGGACGCCACGGAGCCTTGCGCCACCGGGGGCCCGGCCGCCGAGGGCACACTGGGCAGCTCCGAGCGCAGCTCCATTGAGGCCAGCCTTCCACTCCTGTCTGCAACGGGAGGAGAGAAAACAAACCCCCGCCCAGTTGACTTGGCTCAGAGGCCGGGGGTGCGGGGGGGAGGTGGAGAAGGACCCTGGGGCGGAGGGGCAGGATACTGGGCTGGATAGGCCTGGGGTGACCATGCGCAAGGCCTTTCGCCTCGTTGGGCCTGCTTGCTCGACTGTAAAATAAGGAGGTGGGACCTGCAGACCTGAGCCCTTTCTGCCGCGGGCAGTCGGCGCTCTGCTAAGTTAAGTCCCTCCAACTGGGAGCGTTCGGAGCCCTCCACCCCTAGGTCGAAAATTCCGAGTCCCAGGTTCGAATGTACTCTGCCCTAACATATTCTAAGGCCTTTTCTAGCCCCGGCGTTCCAAGGGCCTTTCCAGTCCGAGCTTTCCAGGGTTGGGGTCTTCTAATATTTCTTCCAGCTTTTTAAGTATCCCTTCTATGTAGCACAGGCCCCTAAGCTCCGACATCCTAAGTTTAAATTTTCCTTATGTATGTTCTTTCGTGATTTCCCTACCTACCTAACACCCCCTCTCCCATCCCCCTGCCATCCCCCTCCCAGGCCTTTAAGGGAATGGAAGGGGTGGCCTGCCTATAAAACAAGTTACGCTGGGGGGGGAAGTCTCTCTGGGCCTCAGTTTCCCTATCTGTACAGTAGGAGGGGTTACAAGATGGAGTTCTAAGGTCCTTGCCAGCTCTGATATTTTTTGCACATCCTCCCTATCCTGGAAGCCCCCCGGAAAGTATCTTTCTTTGCGCCCGGGGCCCCTAAATATCTCCTTTCGCCTAAAGGAGGGTTGGAAAGTAACCCTCTGCATTAAGGCTTTCTTCCTCTTGTCCTCCCCCCCCACTTCGCTCCTCAATAGGCTGCTGGGGCGGGGAGGGAGGGGGAGGTGTACCAGGTTTGGTTCCCAGTCACTTCTGGGAGGAAGAGAAGGGCTCTCCGCCCTTCTCCCTTCAGATCAACCTGCGACCAGCAAGCAGACCTCTGCCCCCGCCTCCAGCTACTTGGGGTCTCCGCTTCCTTCCTACCCCCACAGCCTCTCAAGTCACAAAGCCAAGACCCATTCGCATCCACTCGCGCCCCCTTCTTTCAGCGGCCCAGTCCCACCACATAAGGCTGGGGTGGGGGGTGCCTGGCTAACCTCCCCTCGTTACACCTTCCAGCCTGGCCCCTCTCCGCCCCCCCCAGCCCCGGACTATCGCGCGCACCCACCTGGCCCGGACCCCTCGACTCCTCCTTCTCCGTCGGCCGCCGCACACCGGGAGGCAGAGTAGACTTCCCTCTCGGTTCGCTGGGCTGTCTAGGCTCAGGCCCGGGCCTGGGAGGAGGCACTTAACGTAGGCAACTCCCTTATCTGCCCATCTCCGCTCCCTGGGGCCACTAGCGCCAACTTGAAGCCCACTCCTTCCTTCCCCAGCCGGCTCCTGACTCCCCTCTCCTGGCCCTCCCCCCCGAACAGAAATGAAGAAACCCCTCTCCGTGGGCAGGAGGGTCAGAGGGTCTGGACGGGGGGGGGCGCTGCTCAGGGGTCCCGGGCCGGCCTCGGGGACCGGGGGAGGGTAGGAGTCGCGGCCGGTAACCGTCTGGAGCCTCGGAGTTCTGCGACCTGGTGGGAGGCTCCCTCTGGAGTTGGAGCCGGTGCCCGAGTCCGAGCCGGGAGTAAGAGCCGGAGCTAGAGCCCGAGCCAAGGTTGCCGCAGCAGGAGCAGCAGCAGCAGCAGCAAGTAGCAGCAGCAGCAGCCGCCGCCGGCCCCGGGCCGAGTTGCCAGGCGCTGCCCGACGGAGTCTCAATGAGTCGCTGGCCGGCTCTATTGTTGCTCGTTACGTTTCCATTAGACAGAATTTGACAACAATGTGGCGCTTGCTATTGGCCAGGGGACGCAGGCGGGCCTCTGATTGGCCGCCCCTCTGGTTTCCCCCCCTTCCCCCGTGCCCCCGAAAAAGCGCCCGGGGAGGCTCGCGTTCGCCTAGGTCTGGCCGAAGGACTCTAAACTCTAAAAGGTTCCCTGTGTTCTTAAGAGTCGGGGCGGGGGAAGGGGAGGAGTGGGAGGGAGAGGGGAAGGGAAAGGGAGGGGGGAATGGGGAGAGGGAGATCGGAGACCTGGGAAGGGGACGCGAAGACCAAGGGGCAAAAAAAGAAAAAGAAATGAGACCAGGAGGAGTGTTTAAAATATCATGACAAGTAGTTTCCGTGTGTGAGGGAGCGTGTGAATTGCGCCTAATTGCCGCGGCCGGTCTCTATCTCCTCGGCTCCAAGTCTGTACTTTAGTTAATAACCCGTGGGTATCCAGAGGGCCTGAAATCGCTGAGAGCTGAGCTCCAAGGCGGCTTGCCTAGGGCACTGTGGCTGGGGGTCATGAGGGGAGGGGGTGAGGGAGGGGGATGCAGGCGGGCCTCGGAGCGCTGCCTGAGGAAGGTGGCCAACTTGGTCCTTTCCTTCCCAACTCTCTCTTTTTCCTTCTTTCCCTCCTTCCTTCCTCCGTTCATTCCTTGCCTCCTGCTTTCTTCTTCCCTTTTCTTTTTTCCTTCCTTCAACAAACATTTCTTCCTCTCCTGTCTCTTCCTTTTTCTTTCTTTCCTTCCTTCCTTCCTTCCTTCCTTTCTTCCTTCCTTCCTTCAACAAGCATCGCTTCCTCTCCTGTCCTTTCCCTTTTCTTTTTCTTTCCTTTTTCTAATTCAACAAACGTTTCTTCTTCTCTTGTCTTCTCCTTTCCCCCTTCCTTTCAACATGCACTTCTTCCTTTCTCCTCTTCTTCCTTCCTTCCTTTCTTCCTTCTCTTCTTTCTCCTTCGAAGCCTCCTTCCTTTCTTTCTTTTTCTTTCTTTCTTTCTTTCTTTCTTTCTTTCTTTCTTTCTTTCTTTCTTTCTTTCTTTCTTTCTTTCTTTCTTTCTTTCTTTCTTTCTTTCCTCTTCTGTCCCCTCTCCCTCCCTCTGAGTGGGGGCCCTGGGGCCCTTTCTTGTTCTCCAATCCAGTCCTGCCCAGCCGTCCCCTCACCGCGAAGCCGTGGCTCTTGTCCGTCAGGAGTTCGATCCCCGAGCTTCTCAAGACCTGGGAGTGCAGGCCAGGGGAGGGAGTCGTTGCTGGGGGGTGAGTATTTTGTTTGTTTGTTTTCTCCTGGGGGTGTTTTCTGGGGTGGAGGGAGGAGGGAGAGGTAGGCTGGGACTAGGGGCTGAGACCAGTCTCCATCTTCCCCGTGGCCCATTCTGCCCAGGCTCCCTAAGCCCAGAGCTCCAAGCTTCCTCAGGTCCCAGAGTGGGCCGAGACGGAGCGAGGGCTCCGAGGCCGGACTGGGGCCCTGTTGGCATTCTCCGTTCGGTTTTTTATTTTGGCTGCGGAACAATTGTTGCTTTTAGTTAAACAACACCAACAATTACACAAAAAAACCCACCCCCGGAACCACCTTTCCTGGGTGTCTCCTCCTTCGAGGGGGGCAGCTGGCGACGGGGGTCGCGGCCCATCTGTCAGTCTCAGTACAGAGCCCGGCCCCTCGACCCCCCTTTCCTCTCTTCTCTAACCCCTTAGCCTGACGTCATCGCCCTAGCACCATCTCGCCGGGAGGGTTCGCGAGGTAACCGTTCTGCCTGCCCGCGAGCTTGGGCTCCTTTCGAGGAGCCTGCTGCTGGAGTGAGTGAGGCACACAGGTGGAGCCGCCTGGCTCCCCTCGCCCAAGCTCTCTCTCTTCCTGTCCCCCCTCTCTTTACCTCTATTTCTCTTCTTCTCTTTTCTTTCCTTTCTCTAACTTTTTCTCCTCTTTCTCTAACTTTTTCGTTTTTTTCTCTTTCCTATCTCTTTCTATGAATTTTTACTCTCCCTTTCCTTTCTTTCATTGTTTTCTTTTCTTTCTCTCCTCTCTTCCCCCCGCCCTCATCTCCTAACGGCCTTGTTCTGATACAGGTTGATTTTGTTGTTAATTCAGAAGAAAAATAAAATTAAAACCTGGGCGGATCGCCTGGAGCCTAAGGATTTCTCTGCTAAAGCAGCAGCCTCCCTTCCCTTCCTCCTGGGTGCGTGTTGCGTTTGTATGTACATCTCTGTGTTGTGTGTGTTGTTTGCGGGGGTTGTCGGTGTCTGGCAAGTAGTGCTCGACCGCGATGAGGACTGGCGCACAGCCCCTGTAATTCGGACCCTTCGTTATAAATGTGTTGGAACAGAGAGGTCGGAGTCAGGAAGCCTAGCCGGTCCCAGACAGGCCAAAGCGGCTGGAGGAAGGGGAAAAGCTGTAGCAGAGCTGATTCCTCACCTAGCCTGCTCCATGTCCCATCTCCACTCCCGGTCTCCCGCAGGCTCTCAAGAGGCGTGTCCCGGAAGGGGGTTAGAAGGAGGGAGAGAATGGGCCTCGGCCCCTTTCCCACTGAGGCCCGACGGTTTGTCCAGGCCTTGCCCCCAGGCCCGGCTGTGGCCTGAGTCAACCCAACCACCCGTACTTTCACTGACCACGAGGAACAGAGCAAAACACCCAGGCCAAAGCGATTCCAACCACCCGATCGGCCTCCCGAGCAGCCAGAGGAGGGAAATCCAAGGCTTCGATGAATGGTCGGCGCCTTGTTGGGTTCAGCGTCTTATCTGTCTCCAAAACATACAGTTAGGTCACTGTTGAAAGAGCGTCGGGCACTGACGTTTCTGTTGTGCTTTATAGGGTTTAAGGCAAAGCGATGTACCTATACACTCCACCTCACTTTAGGCTGCGGGAAAAGCGCCGAGGTGGGTGCCACAGGTATGCGTTGTTCCCGTTTTACAGTTGAGTAGGCCAAGGATGAAGCGGTCACTGAGTGCCTGGTCACTGGAGTCACCCAGGTAGGAAGCATCGGAGGTAGCATTCCTGACTCCAGCCCAGCCCTCCCGCCACTGCGCCACAGGAGGTATAAAGGTGTTGGGACCTGTTTCTCAGGGGTCCGAAAGTTCAGGGAACTAAGAAAGGTTAAAAAAAAAAGCAGCACTTTGCAAGTCTTAGAGCAATGTCAGCTGGCATTGCTATGATCTAGTTGGGGTACTTACTGATGGGGTACATGATACACTTGTAATCAATCTCTTCATGCGTGTAGCTAGGACTATACAGATCTGTGAGTAAGCATCGCTTGGAGGTAGAGGAAAACAGACTGAATTTGGACTACGAAACCCAGATTTAATTGGGTGTAGGGGACTGATTCTCAAAGTGTGGCTCGGGGAGACCTCCAGACACTTTCTGGGCATCCAGCGAGGTCAAAACTATTTTAATTTCTAATGTGGTTAAACATCGTTCAGTCGGTCCCACATAAAAAAGCTGTTGAAGGAATTCGTTCTCAATAGTCAGCGCTTGAGCTCGGTGGCCAGACGTTGCCTGCTTAATCCCTGCCCTCGAACAGCTTACGGTCTAACGGAGGAGACAGTATGCAAACAACTCTGTACAAGCAGGTAATAGTCAGAATGAACTATAGAAAATCAACAGAGAAGGCCCTAGAATTAAGAAAGATCGGTCAAGGCTTCCTGTAGATGACAGGAGAGTTAGAAGAGACTTGAAGGAAACCAGGGAATGTTTAAGTGCGTGAAAGTTTGAGAAGCGCCTCTACTGGGAATTTTCTGGAGAGGCTCCTATCCCTTTCCTTCCCAAGTGCAGAGAGAGACCTTGGTTCGATAGAATTTTGACTCCTTCTGCAGTCAGGGTGCCTGGGTCCAAATCTAGTCTCTGCTTTTACTTCTTGGGCAAGTCACTGAGAGCCTATCTGCGATCTAGAACCAGTCCACTATCTTGCAGAAAGTGCCCCCTCCTTCGACGCAACGGAGAGGTTAGGCATCCTAGGGTCGGAGTTCTAAAGCCGAATCGGACCTCAGACTCTGGTTTCTCATTTTACCGAAAAAGTAACATGCCCAGAAAAGGCCGTGGACTTGTTCAAGGTCACATCCAAATAAATGTCTGCGAGTGGCAGAGTTGGGAGGGGCATTCTGCCCTTCCTGACTCCGAAGCCAACCCCCTTTCCACTATCCCTACCCTGCCCCTCCCCCGCGTTGTTGTTGCTATCGTTATTTGGGGGGCAGGAGAGGGAGGGGAAAAAGTAGAGAGAAGGGTCATAAGAAGAAAGAGATTGGCATTGAGAGAGCGCTGAAAGGTTTGCAAAGCTCCTTATAGCTAGATTATCTCTTGTGTGGTAGGGACTCGGTAACCCGGGGTTATTTATTAAGCACCTACTATGTGCAGGCACTGCGTTAAGCGCTTTATAAATATTATCTTATTGGATCCTGGGATGCCCAGAAGGCCATAGCCAGCTCAACAGCTCCGAGGCCCAGAGACACCCTCCCCGTCCCCAGCCGAGGATGGTGAGTATGCGCCCACCCGGTGCCTCTGTGTGCGTGCGTTTGGAGGAGTTGCCTGCGTGTTGTAGGGTGAGGGAGATCGATTCACTCAACTCCAAGTCCTCGATAGTTTTTCGTTGGTTCTTCTTGCCTCAGGGCAAGTCCCTTTCCTCTCTGAGTCTCAGTTCGCCCGTTCTCCTGCTTTCTTGCTTTCTTCTTCCTTCCTCTCTCGTCCCTGTTCTGCCTTCCCCTACTCTGCTCTGTCCTCTCCTGCCCTCCTCTTCCTTTCTCTCCAGTCCACTCTCCTCGGCTCCTTCCTCTCCCCTACCCTCCTTCGCCCGGCCCGGGAAAGGTCCGAAACCCGGGTCTAACGCAGCCCTCAGGCTCTCAGAATTAGAGGCAGCTCTACGCAGTCCCCCTGAGCGAGACCGGCGGCCCCCAAGGCTCCGAGGGCACGGTTCCTCCTTCCCAACTAAGGGAGAAGGTGTAATTAAATTAAGTTAAAAACAGAAACTACAGAAAGTACCCGAAGAGAGCTGTTGCTTGGGGAGGGGAGTGGGCCAAAATCTGTCTCCATTTTAGCTTCTCCTGACCTTTCCCAGGTGAGCAGGGTTCTCCCCTCAGTCACCACCATCCCCATCTCCGCTAGGCCAACGTCTGCCCAGGCCGGAGAAGGAGCCCAGTCCAAGCCAGGGAAGGGGAAATCTAGGAAAATTTAGCGTCGAATTGGAAGGGAAGGACGCTGTCTCCTCTCCTTCCATCTCCTTCTTGTCCCGAGCCCCTGACCCCCAGCCAGGGCAGCCGCGGGGGCACGCACGCAGACACACACGTACACAGATGAAAACAGATATATGCAGACACACAAAAGAACGCACACAAATACAGGAGAACGCATACATACAATACACACTTACTCAGGCACACATATGCACACCCGTGACCACTTATGGACCCATTCCTTTCCTTTTTCAGTGGTTTCTGGACATCCATTCCCGCCCCGCCCCCCCCCCCCAGCCTCAGCATCCTAGCCCGGGATTACACCAGGCCAGCAGGGGCCTCACGGCGCCTCACCCCTAGACCCGGAGGCCAAATGGGGACTCCGCCCCTGTTTCACCTGGGGCAAGGGGCCCTTAGTTCATCACTCGAACTGGCGGGACCTGGGTCCCTTGGGAGGTCCCAGTGTTTTCTTTATCCCAACCTCCTCGATATAGAATCCACGGTACACACACCATCTAGGAGGGCACCAAACGCCATTCTGGTACTCTACCCTTCGTTGGGGCCCCGGGGATTTTTCCTTCTCTCCCCCAAACAAGTTTGAGTAAGCGAGCGCGCGCGTGCGCGCGTGTGTGTGTTCAGGTGAAGGTGCCAGGCTAGTGTGAGTGTTTGACTCTACGGTTGTGTCTCGCGCGCGTCTGGCGGAGGTCTCCTGGACCATCAAAGTACAAGGAGGTGGAATTCGAGAACCGGGAAGGGTCTCCAGGGCTGGGACGAGCGCGTGTATTTATATGTGTATGTGTAGAGGGGGTCTTTGCCCTCGGGTCTTCCCCCCTAGCTTCCTGCTGCCCTTGGGCAGTGAGCCCTGAGATGCCTTCGTTGTTCCCGGGTTCGGGCCCAAGCTCGGTGTGCCCTGATGCCAGCTGGGGCCCCAGAACCCAGCAGCAAAGGAGTTTGTACAATTACACTGCTCCAATCCAGTCGCAGCCTCTGTCCCTCCCCTTACCCTCCGTCTCTCCCCCGCCCCCTTCCCCGTCCTCCAGGCCCTGCCCCTGACTCTGCTTCCCCACCTCCATCTCGCAGTCCCTAACCCTCTCCTTCCCCACCTTCTGCCACCGCCCGCCTCTTTGCCCCGCCCTGGTTCTGCCCCCCTCTGTCCCGTCCCTGGCCTTCCCTGCCCCTGTCCCACCCTCTGCCCCGATTCTGGCCCAGTACCCTGGCCCTCCAGACCTCAAATCTTAGTCCCGTCCCTGGCTCTATTCCCCCTCCCCCGGCCCTGCCCCTCCCGCTGCTCCCCCCTCCCCTGGCTGTGTCCCTCTCTCCGTCCCTCTGCCCCCCACCCTGGCCTAGTCTAGGCCTGGCCTCCCGCTCCCTGCCCCAAGTGTGTGTGTGGGGGGAAGGTTGTAGGGCGAAGGGGGGGCGCTGACTTTTCCCAGTGTTTACTCACGGAATCAAAGTAAGCAAACGCCATCTGTTTCCCTGCTGCGGCGCCGCGGCTTTTAATTACCCGCTCAGCGGCCCTAATAGAGATGATATTAAACTAAATCTTTCTGACATTAAAAGTAATTATCCCCAAACCAATATAACTGGGATAGAAATTACCCTCCGTCCCTCCTCGCCCCTCCCAAGACCCGCACCCCTTCAACCCTTCCATACACACCCCTCCTACACCTCCCGGCCCCACCCACCAAGCTCCTCCCACAAGCCCCCCTCCTCTTCGGAGCCCCGCCTCTAGCACCCACCTGCAACACCTTCTGCTTCCCCACCCCCAATGGCCGGTGCCCCTCTCCTTTCCGACGCACAACCCCGCACACTGCGCCTAACAGCCTGCTACACCCCTCACCGCCCCCTCCCCTTGTGGACCTAACCGCCTTCCTTCCCCCACACACATGTGGGCTTCGCTTGCACCCTCTAACACAACATGCCACCCCTTGAGCCCAGCCCAGCCGCTCACACACAGAGCAGTCCAACTTGAATCTTAAAAGGGACCCCTGCTATAACAGAGCCAACAACAGGCCCTACCTGAAGACCTCCGGGGTGGGAGGTGGGGGAAAATCTCATTACCTCCGGAGGCCCGCAGGAAGAAGAGAATAAATATTTTACATAGCTCCTACTACGTACTATTAATCTCATTTGATCCTCAACACACACACAAACAACCCACAAAACTGTGAGGTAGATGCTGTAATAATATCCCCATTTTACAGATGAGGAAATTGAGGCAAACAGGTCAAGTGACTTGCCCAGGATCACACAGCTAGCAAGTGGTGGGATTTGAATTTAAGTCCCCAGATTCTAGATGGCCACTATGCTATCTAGCTGCCTCCACAGCCAGTCCACAGAATCCGAAAATTGAAGGGACCTCAGCGGCATCTAGTCCAATAGGGACGGAACCTGAATCCGTGCTCCCCAACCCCTCTCTAACAGTCTTTATAAAGAGGTACAGGTACAGAGAGGTGCAGCTGGAGTTGGAGGACTGGAGTTCACATTCCTTCCCTCCACGGCCTGTGACTTCAGGCAAACCCCCTCACCTCCCTTGTACAATAAGGGAAATGGCCTACCCAGCTGTAAATCTAGGATACTGAGGGATCGGCAGGCCTCAGTCTGAACGCTACAGGGGGAGGGGGGGGGCGGGATGGGGGTGGGGAGCCTTTGGGACAGCACTCCTTGGAAGGAGCCCTAGACCTTCTGCCTGTATAAACCTTCTTGCAGCTCCTACCCTCTCCCCCTCAAATCGTCCCTTACTTACTGTACAGCAAAGAGAGGGAGGGAGGGAAGGAAGGAAGGAAGGAAGGAAGGAAGGAAGGAAGGAAGGAAGGAAGGAAGGAAGGAAGGAAGGAAGGAAGGAAGGAAGGAAGGAAGGAAGGAAGGAAGGAAGGAAGGAAGGAAAGGAAGATAAACATTTATTAAGCACCTAGTATGTGACAGGAAAATGATTTACCCTGCAAAAAAATCTCATTTGTCTTTTCAGGAACCCTAGGTGGTAGGTACTATTGTTGTTTCCATTTTACAGCTGAGGAAACTGAGGCAGAAAGAGGTTAAGTGACCTAGCCAGGGTCATACAGCTAGTGTCTGAGGCCAGAAGCTCTTCTTTTCATAGCTGCAGTACCCAGAGCCTAGTATCTGGCATATGAGAGTGATTCAATCAATTCTTGCTGAGTTTAAATTCACTGGGAACTAACTGAACAGTATATTCTGTTCCTCTGCCAGGCATCTTTCACTCTTAGGAGTTTTTCATGACATGGAGCCCAAACCAGCCTCTTGGCAACTTCCCCCCCATGGCTCCTAGTTCTCCCTTATGGAGCAGAAAAAAGTCTAATCCCTTAGATACTTTCATGTCCTCTCTGAATCTTCTATAAACTAAATGTCCCTAATTCTTTCAACTGATTCTCATTTGATTTGGGCTTAAGACCCTTCATCATCCTCATTACCCTCTTCTGGACACTGTGGAGCTTCCTGTCCTTTCTAAACTCTGCTGTCTAGATCTGGCCATAATGCTGTACATGCCAGCTGACAGACAGAGGACAGAAGATTATTTCCACCTTATTTCTGGAAATGATTCTTTCAATGAAGATCGGAATCCCTGAGCCATGAGGTGGGGGCAGAGCAGGGGTTGCCTTACCCTCCCCCCCAACCTGCCATATGTCCATAAACTCACAGAACTTCTTTCTTTTGTGTTTGCTCTCTGCTGATCTTAGGTGAGTGAGTATCCTGAGATGGGAGTGGCCCATGGGATCAGGAAATCCATCAAAGCTATCCCAGGTCCCACATGTTCTCTACATGTGAATCTTTCTACCTTTGTACTTTAAATTTGTGCCCACTATCCCCAGGGACCTTATGTGTGTAAGGTGAGAATATTCCTCCCAGTTTGGGGGGAGGGTGTTGTTTTGTAACTGCTGTTAGCAGTAAATATAACATTTTCCAAAAGCTAATTGATATCAACTGGTAAGGACCCCAGATGGGGGCTCATGAATTACAGTAATAGAAACCTTAGTCTCATAGCATTTCCTCTAGAACCTTGAGGGGAACAGTAGTCATTGCCCTCTGGGGAACCTAACCTACTATAGTCTAATGCCAGTTGAGAGTGACCTCAGAGGAGTTATAAAAATGTAAACACACACACACACACACACACACACACACACCACACACACACACACACACACACGAAGGCCAAGCAGAGATCCCCAGGAAAATCCACTGGAGACCTGCCAAGTTGACATTAAGTCCTGTCTGGCCATTTGTCTCATCCACACCTCTACCCTTTCCAAAGGAGAAGCATCATATACACTTTTAAAAACTTTGACAATATTTTGGTAAATTCTGACTAAAACATTCACCTAAAATAATATTCAGATCTCCAAACCAAGAAAATAAAATTCAAGAAATTAGGAAGGTCAGCAGTTTGAGGCTTTGAGCCCACTGGTCATTGGTCAGTGATTCATTTGGTCAGCAAATCATCGAATAACCATGATCGTATCATAACCTTATTAAGGAATAAAACAAGGTGAACCTAGCACTAAATTGTTCTTGATGGAGTTCTTTGTCAAACCCACTTCTCTTTCCAAATGCTTCATTAACCATTTCTTCAATACAATGCTTTGGAATTTTCCCAGGAATGGAAATCAAGTTTACTGGCTAGAATATTGGACCAAGCTGAAATTCAATAGGGAAAAAGGTAAAGTCCTGTATTTGGGATACTAGAATAAACTACACAAATATAGAAAGGGGGGGGGAATGGTTAGATCCTACTGTATGCAAAAAATATTTAGGAACTTGATGGGGCGGCAAGCCGAACATGAGTCCACATTACAATATGGCTGCCAAAAGTTAATAGAACCTTCCATTTCATGAAGATAAGCACAGCGGTCTGGATTGTAGAGGACGGTCTACTGCCCTCTTCAGACCACATGTGGCCCCACATCTTAGAAAGGATGTTGACAAGTTGTAGAGCAATTAGAGGACAGCAAATGGCGTGGTGACCAGAAGCCCTGACAGAGAAGGATCTATTGTCAGAACTAAGGATGCCAAGCCTAAAGGAAAGAAGACATAGTCGTCTTCAGGCATATGAAGGGTTACACTGTTGAATGGGACATTATGTTGGTCCTTTGGGACCCCAGAGAGCAAAATCAACATGGAGGAGGGAGGTGGATTTCAGCTCAAAATAAAGAAGAGTTTTCTGACAATTAGATCTTCCAAAGAGGGCCAGTAATAACACACGCTTGCATAAAAGGCTTTACCGTATGAAGACTGCTAGTCATACATTAGCTCCTTTACAAAGCACTGGACAGCTTCAAAGGCTGGATGACCTCATTTCAGGCATGAAATAGAGGGGCGTCTCCATATTCAGGTGTGTGTTGGACTAGATGGGCCCTGAGGTCCCATATAATACTGAGGTTCACTGTGTTCAAAGCCCCAAACCTGTCACTTCTAAATTTCCTGACCTTTGTTCCTTTGGTTCAAAGATCTGAATCCCCTCCACCCTCCTGCCAACGTCCCATCTCATAGGGTACTGCCCTTCGTAGCTACTCCCTTCTTTGCCAGGCTGCACACACCCCAAGGGTTATTTCAAAGGTATAAAGAAGTCTACAAAGCTATAACGCACACATTGCAGGATAAGGTCAGTAGAAAGGTATTGAAAAGAAAACCATCCCTGGCTTAGACTTCTAAGCCTTCTAATTTAATTCTTAACCAAAGTTTCTGTTTTGGTGGCCTTTTTCTTGATCGATGCCCTATGTGCAAGCTGAAGCAATATAACAACAACAACAATAATAACTGCTAACATTTATATAATACTTAGTCAATAAATATTAACATTGATTTACCTACTATGTGCCAGGCACTGTGCCAACGTTTGCAAAGCATTTTTTGCAAATATCATCTCTCATTAGATCCTCACAACAACCCTTTGAGGTAGGTACCATTATTGTCCCTATTTTACAAATAAGGAAACTGAGGCTGCAAAAGGTTAAGTGACTTGCCTAGGGTCACACAGGCAATTAGTATCTGAGGTGGCATTTGGCCCCAGGTCTTCCTGACTCCAAATCCAGCAACAAACTGTCTCTGGAAGCATTTATTTATTCTTTAGAAATCCACTTGTATCCTGAAATCTCCAATGTAGCCCCAGTGTTTGAAGATTCCTTCCCTGAAGGGGAGACACACTTGAATTAAGTAGAGTGAACTATAATGTCTCCTGTTAGCATATTAAGTATTTAATACTTTCCTCTGAAGTATATTTGAAAAAACCTTACTGTGTGCAAGCTTTATCTCCCATGCTAAGATAACAGCAGCTTTTACAGAAGCTCTTTACAGGGTCATTATTAGAACTTGCACTGAGCAGGCTGTCCATGTTGAGATAACTGCTTCCCAGGGTTAACAAGTAAGCGCTATCCTTGGGCTAATTATTAGAAGCTGCCCACTACAGGTCTCTCCTTCAGAAAATAGCTAAGACCCCACTTCCCAGAAACCAGTGATAGGGTCATATCCTACATGACAGGATCATGGAATTGGAAGGGACATC